TACTGTAAGAAGCATCATCTTTTGTTATGTGAAATTCAAATTCTGTCTTATTCCTTATTTGTATATTCTCTTAAGAAAGTACAGACATACAAAATGAGATAATAACATCTTTATAAATTAGTTCTGATATAATTATATAATGTATATAGTTATATAGAGATGTACATATATAAAATATATGGCTGGAAGTGAAATGTTCTTTTTTCTGTTCCGTATTCTAATTTGATTTTCCTTCCAATTTTTTTGTTTGTTTGTTTTTGTACCGGGGATCAAACTCAGGACCTTGTGCTTGTTAGTCAGGCGGTGTCAACACTGAGCTAAATCCCCAGCCCTCCAATTTTTTAATAGCGAAATTACTGTGCATTCTTTTCATATAAAACATTTCTTAGTCATCTGGGATATAAAAGAAATAAAGAGAAAACAATTCCTTCTGTTATTCTGGGAGGTGGTTCAGTAAAATTGCTGCATATAACTCCAGTTCACCTTTATAATGGTCATGTAATTTGGCCAAATTACTTGACCTTTCTTTGCGTATAACTTTTCATCGATAAAATGAAAATAAATGCTACTTAACTGACAGGGGGTGTATGATCATCAAATTAAATTTTATTATATTAGTAAGCATTGCTTTAGCCTCACAATTTATGTCTAGCATATATTAGCAGTTTGTCCTTTTGCCATCAACTTATTATTATGTTAACAGAAAGCTTTTATGTTTATTAACTTACATAACTCTTAGGATTTTATCCTTCACTATTTTTTACTGTACACTTTCAACTCTGTCATCTCATTACCTTCATAGCTTAAACATTCCTGTTCATCACTGCACCTGTTCAGTGAGCTATAGCCTTGTTATTTATCTCCTGGAAACTTTTGTCCCCAACACTTCCTTGCCTCATGCTCTTGCTTCCTAGTTTAACCCTTTTTTGCTATGGTTTCTAATGTTTGTTACCTCATCATAGTCTCATAATACCAATATGTTTTCGGTTTTGTTTTTTTGTGTGTGGCAGGGGTGAGGAGAAGACTGTATTATTACCCAACCTTGAAAGTCTTGTGCATCTCCTCCCAATCTCATAATCCTACATAAAACTACATTTCTAATGCCCACATATCTCTAGAATATTTGTCTCATGTCCATATCCCTTATCTACCTTGGTGGAGCCCTCATCACTACTACCAGACAACAACTGGTATTCTAAGAAATGCGTTCTTCTTCATATCTAGTTACTAGATCTAGTTAGTCTTTATCCTTTTGATATATTATTATTTAAATATATCTTCTCTGTAGAAGATCATCAAGAATAGTGTTTAATATATCATATAAATTTAAAAAATTTATAGTATTTTTAAAACAATGGTCCTATAAATTTGATTTTATCTAGTTTTCCTATATCACTTGACAAACCTCTCAGACATCCTACCTCCCTACAAATGCATATGTTGTCCCCTTTACTGAAAATGCCTTTTCCTTCAAGCCTTTTCTTCCAAGAATAAGCTTTTAAAGGAAACAAGCTAAGGTTTCTAAAGTCCTTACTTGTTGGAAACTGTTAAGAGAATAATTTTGCATTATTTGAATTTCTTAATAACTCTATGAGGAGGTTGGTTTAAAAAAATCCCTATTTTATAAATGAAGATATCAAAGCAGGATTTACACTCTCATTTATAGACTACAAAAATTGCTTTCAATGATTGTGTTCTTATTTATTTAATTTTCATAAAAGTAAAAGAAACTAAATATTTACTTTTATTTCCACATGATGAAACTGATGCTCAAGGACTATAAGTGGCATGTCCAAGGTCATATAGTTATGTTCAGAAAAACCTATATTTAATGTAGGAATTGTTAAACATTAAGGCCTATTATTTCCATTCTCTTCACCCAGTTTCTTTAAATATTACCCCTTTAATATTTAAAGGAACTGGATTAGTAAATCCTTTATTAATGCTTCCATAAAGAGATGGCAATGCCAAGATTTGTTCTGCTACTATACTTACTAGAGTGCACGGAAAATAAGAGTTTACATTTATCTAGCAGTTACCTAGCATATAGGGACAATTCTATGTGCTTTGGTGATTTTTTTCCTGTATGTGTCTTAATGTGTATCATAGTGATTATATTTCTCATTTTTGCCAGGGTATTAACCTGTTTTCCTCAGTAACACATGAACATGTTTCAACAGCCACTGACCCGAACACATTTTTATCACCTAACACAACTCCTTGCATGTAGAAAGTGTACAATAATTACTCTTAAATAAAAGAATGTTTTATGACTGGGAGTAGGTTTGGTATTGGTGGGACAGAATGAGAAAAAGAGAAAAACTTTGAATATCAGAGAACAGCGCAGTCCTTTCCTGCAACTCTTAAAGCCATGAACTCAGGATTGTGAGAACTTTGGTACAGAATTCTTTTCCTAACTTTTCATGGTATTTTTTCCCTTATATTGAAGAAAAACTATGCACTTCCCAATGACAGTCACCACACAGGCTACTTATTCAAACTAAAAGTGCTTTGATTTATTCCCAAATTGTGTTTTATTTTATTGACCCTACTCACATTACAGAGATCAGTGCATATTTTACATGCATTATAAATTCAAAATATTGGAAAGCATTTTGATCTACATAGATCAAATTTGGGTAAAGTGGCCATCTCTGTTTCCCATCCATTTGAGAGGATCAGCTAAGTGTTTTTCTTGGGCATAGACAGACTTCTGAAAAATGAAAATTGGCTCTTTATTAGAGCCTCAGGCTATTTTATCTGATAATAAAATTGTCTACTTTTTCTAGTCATTTTCATTCAAGCCTTACTTACTGCCTGCCTTTTCTGATTTTTTTGGGTTTGCTATCTTCATTGTTTTTTTTCTTCTGCCGTAGCCTTCTCTTTATTGCTGGCTTCTAAACTGTCTATTATAGGTTGATGATTATGAGGAGCATGAGGATGATGACTATGGTCATATGTCTCCCCACTTGTAGACATTTTGCAGTTGTAAATTTGTAGTCTTCATTTTAGACAAGGACCATGAATGTTTGTGTAGGAGGAAACATACTGGTTTTTTTTTTCTCTTCCTAGCATTGTTCCTTTGGTGATGCACTGTTGAATCATGGCATTTCAGGGAGCTTAAATTTCTATTGCTTATATTTGTAATTATTGTAGGTTATGTTAATAATTTAGATTTCTTACATAATTCTACTTTGATATACTCATACTCAATACATTATGAAAATTTTAAATTTCTATTTTTAAATGAAATGCTCTCTTCATTTGAAATTACTTCTGTGGGTGGTTAAATTGATAATTGTGTAATATTAAAAGTATGGTAGGTCTTTTTTTTTAAGATGAAGTCTTTCTAAGTTGCCAAGTTGCCAAGGCATGGACTAAACTTGAAATCTTTCTGCCTCAGTTCCCCAGAGTGCAGAGATTACTGGTATGCACCATCGTGCCTGTCTCAAACTTCTACTTTAAGAATAAAGAATACTAACCTGATAAATAAAAATTGTAAGTTCTGCTGTGCAATTTAATTGAATTTTTTAGGTTAGAAACAATATATGAATTCAAAAATAGAAACTACCCAGGACATAACAAAACAATAGAAATACAAATATATTATAAACAAAGTAACTGGATGGTTAATTTATCAGGCTGCCATTTAAAATATTTTGCATAAATTTTATCAGTCAGATGTGGTTGTCTTTACATGCTTTACATGCACACAAAATATGCTTTACATGCACTTGGAAGAAAGACATATTGCTCTGGCCATCTCTGAACTCTATTGTCCTCAGACCTCTACTTCCCTGCAAGGCTGATATCAGCTTTTGGTTTATTGAGTGGAAACCAATGTCATCATGCCTTATCCAAAGGGGACTTGATCCCTCCAGTATAAATGTTAGAAAGGAAACATTGAAACCTCTGACAGTTGTTCTTTTACTCTAGCCCTAAGCCATAAACTTAAATGTTTCACTCTGGTTTTACAAGTGGTCAAATGTAGTAACATAGAAATATGGGGGGAATGTGTGTGTGTGTGTGTGTGTGTGTGTGTGTGTGTGTGTGTTCTATTTGGGTGGAAAAAATTAGGTTTAATGAGTTTCACATCCAAGACATTTTAAGAAATAAAAAACCATTACTTGTACATGCACATATTTTCTGTTTAACATGGATCTCTCACTTTGGTATTTTTGCAAATACTATTATGACATTTTAAAAACTCCCAGTATTTTTCTTTGGTGAATATTAGCATAATTAAATACACATTTTGTTTTAAAGCTTACTTTTTCTGGGGAGTGAGAACAATAGTGTTTTCTTAGAAATTTATACTCTAAAAGAAAGACAGCTTAGAACATTACCACACCCAGAGTAAAGGTGCTTAGGGTCCAAAATAGTTCCTATTGATGATCACGTTAATCTGTTATGATGACTTTTGCACATTAGTGAAATGAAACATTATTTTAAAATGAAAGTATTCTAAGAAAGGATATTTGAATGAGCTCAGATAAAAATCTCTTATTTTTTAATAGGCACATATCACTCTTTCTTCACTTTATTTCTTTGTTTAACCTTGTTGGTATTCTAAAAGTGCTAGGAAATACCAGCTCTGTATATTACATTGATAATGCAAAGTATTCAGCCTAAACCTGTAGCAAGTGTGTTTTTAAAGGAAGCAGATGCTGTAGTGTTTCTGCCTAAAAGAGAGTACAGTTTATACATTATGCAGTATGCAGATGTCATCTCTCTGGGAATGTTTTACCCCGAGTGGCTGCTGCAGGATTGGAGTTTTCTGCTTGTGATTTAGGTTGAAATTTTATTTGTAGAAATAAACCAATCATGAAGCCCCAACTGTCTCAGCGATGAGATGATCAATAGCCCATTACTGGATAGAACAGCAGCTACAGGAAGTGCATTGAAGATTTTAATGCATGAATTATGCATGCCATGCTCATTCTTTAGTCTCCAAACAGAATGACAGGGTTTGTGAAGTCGCCTCAGATAGTTTCTTGCATTAAGTGACTGCAGTGAGATGCTTAATATTTTCAGGCATAGAAGCAGCATTGACTGGAGCCAGCCGAATTTGGAAGATGTAAATTTCCCCAGCTCACTACACAGAATGCTTCATTTGAAAGTGTTGCTATGTAGAGAGCCAGCTTTGCAGTCATCTAACCTGTTCTCTCCAGAAGGTTGGCTGAAGGATGGGAGCGGCTGTGCCTGCCTCTGAGGTCACAGCTTGAAGTCCTTTGAAAGTGCCTTCTGCTGCAGGAGCGAGGCATATTGTGGTCTAAGCGTCTTTGCATGTATTCAGATGGACAATTTGCAATAGATATTATACCCAGAAGAGCAGATAATTCAACATATGAGGTAAGCCCGAGATTTTGGTTAGGTAATTGTAAACTAGAATGTGCTGACTGGGGATAATGGTCTTCCCGTGTAATAGTAAGGTTGCCTCAGACCTTGGTCTTATAAAGCAGCTTTGCCTCCCAATTGTTATGTTAATAGAGAGGTGACTTAATTTTATTTGTTTGACAGTATTAAATTGAATTCTATTCTGTTTTGCATGCAAAAGGTTTTCAAAAAATGTACCAGTGCCCAGGGGTGTGTGTCTTTAATAGAAATGCTGCAAACCTGGGCTGGGCAGCAGGGGAGTGAATGAAATTAGTAAGTGAAAATTGCCTCCTGGTGGAGAAGTTTTAGTAGGGCTGTGGCTTTGCTTTGGCTCAGACTGTTTCCTTAATGTCAACATCTTCAAATTCTAACAAAAGATAATCATAGAAATCTAAAATGCTCTTTCCTTCTCCCAAAAGTGGAGGACAGCACAGAGGTACTCACACTCAAATGCTGTGTTGCATACAAATTGAGCAGATGGAATTAAAACAATTTGGACTACTATGTCCTTGAGGAAAGACCTTGTCAGAAACAAAACAGTTTGACTTCTTTTTACCTGTAGTGGCTTCATGGGTGTTTTCCCCCGTATGTCAAGAATGCTTTTCTGCAAAAGCGATGGATAGATGAAATATTGTGAAATTTACAAAAAAAGAGGGGTTTTATTTTTTGGCGTTTTAAGAATTAAGCTTAAGCAATTGTAGAAACCACTATAATAAGAACCAGATAAAATTCCCCAAAACTCTGCAAACCTGAAAATATAGTGCTATGCTACTATATTGGTCAGAGGTCTTTGTGAATTTAAAGCTGATTGCTTAAATATCCTGCCAAATAATAAGTGTGCAAATAATGTTCAGCATGATATGAATTCCTGAACATTTCTTTAGGGTGAGAAAATAGTATTAAGAAATGTTCAGTAACAGACTCTGGACGCAGTAAAATTCCTTAATGGTGTTTTAAACAGTAAATTTATACTATTAGTACCCACAAGCATATATATCATATATGCTGTAGTCCTTAATTTATAAAACATGTATAATAGGTGTTTATCCCTAAGTGTGTTTACTGTTTAAAAAATATGCTTGTTGAATCATCTGTCAGTAACCAATAATACAAAAAGCTAATTATGTTTTGTAAAAGTAAGCATCGATTTTTTTACTACACTTAATCTTAGCCAAAAGACCGAGAAGCAATTTTTTTAAAATTTAAAAACAAAGGAGAATTTAGCAGTGAAAATGAGAGCCAAGAAAAACTATCCTCAAGCCATTTCTCAGTGCATTTCAATTTTGCTACAGTGTTACTACATCACTTGGGTTTCCTGTCCACTGCGTGGTCTGGTGTGTCACAGAACTTCCAGGATTGCCTAGTGTGGTTAAATCTTCAAAGCTCATCTAGTTCAGGAGTAGGAGGAAACCCAGAAGTGGAGTTTTTCCTTAGGAAGGAGAGGCAGGGCTACCTACATACAGTATCCTGGCATCTTCTGATGCTGAGTCATGCCTCTGCTCAAATACCTCCTGTCTGAGGTGGTTCATTAACAGCTAGTAAAATGGAATCTGCAGGGATATGAGAAAGAGTGGAGGAGGGCAGGAACTTAAGGATATTTATTGCCTAGTGACTCGTACTAAATTCTGAGTAATAAGTAGAATGACAGTGCTACTTGTTGGACCTGGCAGAGGTAACAGTAGGAGAATAAAAGATCCTGTGCCAAGTGACAAGATTGCACAATAAAATTAATGGACTGACCTGGAGAGATGGAATGAACAGAGGGGTCTGTGAAGCATTCTGCTTGTACTCATTTGAACTTCTCTGTCTTCACTCTAGTCTCAGACCAAACCATCAGTTCATCTCATTTAAAATACTTGGTGGTCACATAAAGAACAGTTCCTGGATCATGGGAGGGTAATGTGGAAGAGATATGCTCAGTTCCCAATTCCCACAATAGTTATAATTAATTTCCACAGACTATCACTTGGGAGAACTAATAAGAAATTAATGATGATTTTTAATTTCAGCCTTGGTATGTGAGGTGGAGCACCAAAATGAATTGAATTTGTGGTGACTTTGGCAAGGTATAATCATATGAGATAGAGTTGGAAAATGAAGCTAAAGATATCAAGAGAAATAAAGAGATAAATATAATGAGAAATATAGCGATGAAACATCAAATATAAGATTTTCAAAAAAGAATATACTTAATCCATCATTAATGTACATTATTAATATCTCTTAAAAATGAATGTGGAAGAATTCTGAACTATCATGGTTTATTAAAAAAGATTTATAATTTAGTGTAAAAATTTAAGGTGATTTAGCAGGGTAAGAAATAGTTGACAAGATTGTTTTAAAATGTTAAAGAATAAATTTTATTATAGGGAATAAATCCTGATAAGGAATGTTTATACTTATAATGAATTTTAGTAGAAAACGGCATATATGCTATTAACTAGGATTGTGAGAAAGTTATGAATGAACTCTGGAAGATGAGACTTCAAAGTATTTAAAGAGAGAAAATATACCTATTTTCTAAAATTTAAACCATACATACAAATTGATTAAGTCAGAGCTAATATTTGCATAATAAGAAAATTCCTCATAAGGTTCTGTAATAAATAGTCTTGATGAGTTTTAAGCTTTGTAAAATTCACAGAAAACTTTTCAAGTATGAATCTATGGCAATGAGTGATATAAAGAGATGTAATCTTTTTGTCCCATTGGAGAAAATGATAAAGTTAGTTCTTCCTTAAAATATGTTCCCTGAGTTATTTATGAAACATCTGTCTTTCAGATACGTTCTTAGAAGTTGACTCTGAGGGGTGTCTTTTTTCTATACAGCTTCATGTATTCTCTTATCAGAAATACATTTTTCCCTCCATGTTTCTTAAGATCTCTTCTCTCACAACACAAGCCAGTGTAATAAGAAAGCATGTGTTAAGGTTCTTCCTGTGTGGTTTTGCAAGATCTTCTGTTCTATAGATGCAAGAGAAGTTGATGGGCCTGTGTTTTCGGTGGGAACAAATAAGTTAAATACATGGGGTAAAGAGGTACAAAAGAGAGCGAACCAAATCAAAAGTCATAGGAGCAATGGGCCCATACTCAAAATTTTAAACTGGAAGAACACTATTCATAAGAGCATGAGGGAAACTGATACTACATGTTCTAAAGTGAGGACAGAAATGGAGGGACTAGATGGCTGTCATTGCAAATAATCAAAATGGGTGCATGTTATTAAGAGTTGCCAGAATAACAGGCAACTTACCTGTAACTTACAATAACAGGCATGACTTACAGGTCTTGGGCATCCAGAGACATTATTGAATACTTTCACTGGAGGCATTTAATGATAAAGAGGTTTCTGGCCCCTGAATCAAGTATCACTTGGCATTTCTTTTTAATGACTGCGGATCCTACATTAAATATTATATGAAGCATGTCTTCTATTTCCTGTCTTCTGACGGCTTGGCTTTATTGATGCTGGGGAGATTGCTCCTCCCAGGTTTGACTGGTTACTAGTTAGTAAACACCTTGCACTTGAGAGCTCATTTTCCAAATGCCAACCAAGCAACCCAGAGCCCACACCAACCCTTAATTCTTTATCTGGGGTCTCAACACCCAGCCACTCTCTCCTTCTAGTTATTTCTGAGACACGTACCAAATAACTGCTATTGAGAGTTCATATGTTCCAGAGCCTCCTGAAATTAAATTGTTCAAAGTAACCAATCTGGAACACCTTCCTTGCCTTACTATTCCTCCCTCTGGACTGTCTCCTCACACTGTATAGTGTACCCTTTCCTCTAGGATCTATAATGTAGCAAGATGTCTTTTCAATGGCAGTCACTTCCAGATCTGTCTTCCTTATCAAATCTCAGTAATAGAACCTATGTTAAACATGAAATAAATCTGTTTACATACAAATTATCATAAGTAGAAGCAATATATTCCCAGTACTCAAGTCCTCTACCTTAAGAATAATTATACTTTTATTAATTTGGACATTTATTTTGAATTTAAGGGAAAATTCTGAGTGAATGTCTTATAAACACAAGATTATTATCACAGTTGAAGTTTTCCATCTTATGACAAGGCACATGGGTCTAAATTTTTTAATGTTTTTCTGAGACTACTTTAACTTAGAGTATGCCATATTTACAACGTGAAAACAAACCTTTAGTTTGTAAAGCAGCTATGTTTATACCACCTAGGTATCACAATTTTGAAACTTTAATTACCAAATGCCAAAGTTGTTTACATAATGTCTTTGATATCCAGGAGGCAACTATAAAACATACCTTAATTTAAAAACATTTCTGCTATATCTAGCCTACAAAATTGAATTGAACTTCTTGAGAATGTGTTGACCAAGAAAAAGTTGTTGCTAATCACTGAATGCACAACTGTGGAACAATGAACCAAACACAATTAACCGTACAACAAGAGTTGGACCACAGATAGAACAGGGCTCTGAAGAATATATACCAAAATAACATTAGCTGTATCTTTCTGTGGTTCCCTCCTTTATTTCAAAACACCATTGTCAAGGGAAGTTGAGAACAGTCTCTACTTTAAGGTATAGAATAATTCAAACATCAAATGTATGTTAAGTGTTGATGACCTTCACTCTCTCTTTCTATTCTGAGATTGCATTATAAGTTATTGTTGTAATTAAAATAGCCCTTTAAGAAATAGACTTTTGATAAGATTCTGTACAAAATTAGCGATGATTTCAGTTTGAAATAAGTTAGAAAAAATACTAGTCATGCTGGCAGATGGAAGGGCAGCAAGGTAGGTGGCTGGGCGGGAAGCTGGAGGTGGACCTGTGCCAGAAAGAACATGGGAGTTTAAACAGATGGAAGATGATACATTAGTTGGCAAGAAATGACTCTGGGTGACAAGCAGGAGAATGTATTGAAGAGCTGGGTGGGTAGGTAGCCAAGAAGTAGATTTGATGGACCAATAATAAAAGAAGTGGGTCAGTATGAGGG